TCGTGTGACAGTCAAATACGTTATTTTTAACTTTCAGAACTGGCATTTAGCTGAAACAAGAGCAGTAGCACATTTTACGTGGTATTTTTTGCGTGCATCATTGTATGACCAGGCTGAGACCTTCCGGTCACTACGCTTGTGATCCCAGTTTAAATCCCAACTCAGCATATGTGAGTCTATGGGTCTCTATGCGAGTCTATGGTTCTATATGTACGTCTATGTTTATGTAAATCTTTGATGACCAGGTAGAGACCATCAGCTCGTTACACATGCGGACCCAGTTTATTTCACAATGGGATGTCTGCTGACCCACCCATACTGGACATCTGTGAAAACAAACTTCAAAGCTCATCGGATTTCTCCAGTTTAAATAAAGATTCCGATTCTGTAATCCAGGATCTCAGTGGTGCTGGCTCAATCCTCTGATCTATGACCCACTTGGCCACCTCCAATCTTCATGTTCATTGCGATTGCACCTGCGACATGGAATGCAGATAAAAGCACACTCATCCCATTTAAAAGTGCACTCCAATTGGGATACTGCCATGGTGCTAATGGTTATAACCATTTTTATCACACTGGATGTTAATTCAGATGTTTCCGGTTTGATCTCCTGGCACGGCAGTTGAAACAACGGTGCTAACCTCCTTTGTCCAGCAGCTGTTTAAATGAGCAGGTGTCGTGGAGTAAAGTGCGGTTGCTCCCACAACTTCTGAGATGTCTGGCCAGCATGGAAGAGGAGGCCAAAAATACCCAAAGGAGGAGCCCTCTAGAGCTCTCTCTAGTGGAGGCCCTTCCACTTGAGATTTCAGGACTGCACTTTGACCTTTACCTTTTAAATCAACACTCTGGATTGACAAAGCGGCCAAATGTGATTGCAGCTCAAATACCCAGTACAAGAGGTGGCATTTGCAGATCACGGGATGAAAGGAAGGAATTTGTTTTCTTACCTAAGGAGCGATTGAAAACGCTTCATGGAGATTCACAGGGAGAGGAGAAGAGAAATTAAATTTAGCGCCTTTTTACTTGAAAGTGTGTCCCCATGCACACCCATTTAAATGCAATTCCATCGTAGTCGATACACGTAATGTGTTAGAAGGATCAGTCCGGCAGCATTCAGCCATCATTTACTCTGGAATTATTCATGCGGTAGAGCGTTTGTGGTAAAGCCACGATGTCCTTGTTGAGACGTTAGTGATGTTACGCAAGGAGCACCGGGTTAATTCCAACTGCTCATTTCCAAGGCAGGAGACAGGCAGGCCTTCAATATCCACAGAGGTCGAATGTTTTTCAAGTTCTCTTTTGTCAATGCTGTGGCTATCGAGTAGTATTACCCTGGCGGTGCAGCTGCACCAGGGCCCAAGGGCCCAATCAATGCCCTGGGCTACGAAGAGAGGGGGGGTGGCCTCATTTCATTACAGCACAGGGCCCTTGCCCACTGACGAAGGGCAATATCTGACCCTAAAGGTTGGGAAAGAATGGTATGACTCAACCCAGAGGAGACAGTGTTTCCAGCAATCTTTTTATAATTATTTACTTATGTGAGGGTTGCTCACTTTTAATATGGGAGAGAGGGGAGTTCGGATCCATTTTCTCTCCCATGCAATTCCTTCAATAATTTTATGAGGATACCAATGCGGATTTTTTCAAACGTGCTTTAATGTCGACTGAAAGGAGGACAATAACTCGATCCAGAATACAATTAATCTTAACAAGGTTTGGATTTTATTAACGACTAGCTTTACTACCCGGCTTCGCCCGAGACTTGGATGCTTGTCTTGGATCAATACACGGCCTACGCGGAGGGTGGGGGGGGGGGATGCGTGACGTCAGCAGGCACACTGCGTGACGCTGCCGCATGCGGGTGACATCACAGATGTGACGTCACCGCTCACTTGCCGTGAAAAAATATATCCATTATTGCGCCCCCCCACCCCCTCCCCCAAATACAAAAGTCTATTTTTATACTTTTTGCATTGTGTACAGTCTGGAAGCTACCCACATGCCACATTTTAAGTTTGTTGCATGTCGGGAAGTATGCTAAACATTTCGAACAGACACAGATTCACAAATTTCCCTTATATATAGATGTCTTGATTTATGCACTATTGACACACTATGCACAAGGACGCGAACCAACTTTGGCAGATAATACTTAATTGACAATACATTTGCATAATATTTACATAACTCCGTAGTTCACCAACTTAACAAAGCGACCCACGTGTCAATAATCACAGAATACCGTTGACGACAAAACAGGTACAGAACACCGCGACGGTAGTGCGATTACAGAACACTGCGCCGGCCATTCGCACCAACTCAGGACTTGGTTTGAGCTCACGACAGCGCTCTGAGCGACTCAACGCAGCTGCGGTCTCAGCCACCGACCCATCCGCACGGCAGCACCGCACACAGCCACTCCATGCACCAGCATCCCCAGGCACCGGCCCGCCCGCACAACAGCAGCAGCGCTCGCAATGACCCACCGCAACAACAGTCCCGCCCACCGAGCTGCCCACACGACAGCAGCCCCCCGCAGCCGCCGGCCCGCCGTGGGAGCCCCCCGGCCCCGGCGAACGCCGACCATCCCAGCCCCTCTTCCATACACGGGTAGTGCTCACATACACATTTGGTCCCGCTCTCACAGCCTCTGTCAATCAACTTGGCTTGTGCAGCACCCCCCAAATGTAACCCCGTAAAATCGTTACATTAGCCCTGACTTTTTGTTCACCTCACTTTCCACCACTCACAGCCCCGTCAACTAACCCCTCACCTCACGCCAACCGGCCTGCCCTGAATGGCCAACTCGTGCCCCGCTTCCTGAGATGGGGCGTTTTCCTCCCATAACCTTTCAACCCCCCTTACCTGATGTAACCTCGGCCACCACACATCGCCGCGGGGCGACAGTGCTTGTCTATACTGTTACAACGTATATGTATTGAGTTCGTGCTATTGGTGATGTCATGAGACTATAATAAACAAACTTTCATTCTGAACTCTCCCTGGGGATGTTGTTGTAGAACTCGTTCTAAGGTTACTCTGCATTCAGGCCTCTGTAGCCACACTAAGGGTGAACTCTATATGCCCTGGTTATCACATATCAATAAAAGCAGGATTTAGAATTTTTCGAGCTGGAATAAGCTGAATTAAGTAAGAAAATAATGTGGTTGGGTTTATTTTGTGTGTAGTCATGAGTGACTAGGCCGTAGCCTAATGCAGCTAAAAGTCCACCAAGGACGCACCCAGAAAATAATGTAATAAAGTGTTGTAAACAATGTATTTTTGTGTAAAGCACCACTTTACACGAGGGTTTACGAATCACGGAGGATTAAGATTATAGATTGGTTGAGAAGCAAGAATTTCGGCTGTGTGTCTGCAGCGTTTGGTGCCTGGCCCAGATAATCAGCTCGCCGCACTGGAGGGCCCCAGCTTAATAACGACCAGTGGCCACCGACCCCGATTTAGAGGCGGGCTGTAACAGGATATAATGAATCCGCCACAGAATTAATGATAAATTACGTTATCTTTTTTCAGACCCATATATATAATAATTGGGCGTGGTCTTGCCCACGCTAATTAGCTTCCCTGATTAACAATGTATCATTCATTCTGTCGCAAATTCATCGTATCCTGCTACAGCGCACACACAGACAAGTCATGCATGCCGTTACCCAGCGGTTGTGCCAAATCAGCGGGCTGGCATACAACAATAGCTAAAGTAGAATCTTTGCTCCATCTATCAGCGACAGCAGTGCAAGGGGGTAGAGTCACAGCTGAGTTGTTTTATACAACTAATATTTTATCTCCGTCGCATTTAAAAAGAAAAGTTGTATTCCTGATTCGAGGATTTTTGTTCAGAAATGTGAGATTTTTAAAATAAGTTTTTAAAGGCTCTTTTGACAATAACCCAAGGGTTACTGATAAAGGTCGCTTATATATTTCCTCAGGTTGAGAAGTTTTATTCCACTGCTATGATAAGTGCTGCTGCTGCTGCACAAAGCGAGTGATCACAAGGAGAAGCCTGCACAATTCATCATCCGTGATCAATAAATTGCTAGATGAAGTATTTTCCCAAGCTGACATCTCTCATGGTTATATCTGTATATGTATGTCACACTTCGCTATGAACCCAGCAGACCCCAATTTGATTCCCGCTCACAGCCAACATCAGTGATGAATATCTGAACCAGTACTGGGCCTCCCCTAGGTCTACTCAGGCTTAATGAATACCTGGCACCACGTGTAAGTTTAGTCACAAGTCTCCCCGCGTGTGGTACTGGCCGCACCACTCCATCGTGCGCTGTGCTGACCTTCATAGGTGCTCGCTAACAGCACTTGCCCCAACAGCATCTGTAGGCTACACGGGGGATCTGTATGTACGTGTGTAACGACGACTTGACACACTTCTATTGAGATGGCACTTTATTGAAGACACGTTCACTTGATGTCAGGCGGAGATCCCACTGCAACAGTCCCGAGTCTCCCGCACATCTCCCTTATATATCAACCGAGTCCACGCTCCCCTTTTCGATCATTCTCGCTGACTCTGGACGCTCGCTCTACCATCCTCTTCCGTCTCCTGACTACGCTCCCTTCTCCAACATTCCCGTATCCACCAGTCTCTTCGCACTCATAACTGATACCCCTGTCATTACCTCCCGTGGCCACTAGTGCATTCGTAATGTAGGCTGGCTTCCCTATCATTACCTCCCGTGGCCACTAGTCCCCTCACACCGCATGCAGGCTCTATTTTCATTACACGTGCATGCTTCACGGGGGATCTGTGTATGCGTGCACCTGGTCTGGCACAGGCGCCGTGGTGACGTCACCGTTACTTAGTGGCGAATGATGGGTATTGGCATTGGTACTGTCCATCCACCCCCTCGTGTGCCTTTCCAGGCTTCATGAAGTGCTCCCTAATAGTACTGCCCCAACAGTCCATGAAGGGTAATATAGGGGGGACCTTTGCCTTTTTGTCTGTGTGCCGGGCCCCACAGATGCGCAGTCGGCAGCAGAGAGGCTCCGCGCTGCACAGTGCGGCACGTGGCTCCGCAACCCCAACGGGGGGTCCTTCTCCTCCTCCAACTACCCTGGAAACTACCCCCCCGACAAGGAGTGCATCTACATCCTGGAGGGTGAGTGGGCCCTCCCCCGTTCGGCACAGAAGCGAACACACACCGAGCCAAAGACCCCTCAGTAGCCTTCAACAGGACAGTTAGGGCAAGTACTGTTAGCGAGCGCCGATTAAAGTCGGAAAGGTGCATGGTCGAGTGGTATGGCCGATACCCGAGCCCAGCCACCTTTGCGTCTCCATTGCTGATTGCACACCGCGTCAGGTATCCGTTTAAGGCGGAGTCAAGTCGAGGACTGGCTCAGTTATCACTCTCCACTGATATTGGTCGTGTCTGGTCAACGGACTTGGGTCGCCGTGTTTGTATTTGCAGTGTGCACGAAACGCTGTGACCACTCTCTACACAAACACAGACAAAGATCCCCTTATAGCCTTAATAGTCTGTTGGAGCAAGTGCTGTTAGCGAGCACCTATGAAGGCCGGCATGGCACACGAGCGTATGGGTGGACAGCGCCACGCTCGCTCGCATCACTGCACACGTGATCATTTTGCACGCCCAGCTTTAGGGGTGGGCGATCAGAGTGACTGAACAGGATGCAAATATGTGAGAGGCATTGAAAATGAACAAAGGTACGTGAACTTTCTGAATCTTATAGAGTGAACGTACCCTTCTCCACAGCCCGATTATCCCTTGAGTTCTTTGATCTGTAGCCCAAATTGATCTGTGTTTTGATTGGTCCTGTATGTCTCACTTACTTTGCCCATTGCTTCAAGCACAGAAGGTAGCTCCATGGGCCGAGTGCGATTATCGAAACTGTACTCGCTTCACTCATCCCCCGTCTTCCATTGTACAACCCGAGCCATGCCAAGGCCAGCGCACTACGGTCTGGTCCTGCTTGGCACTGCAAATCGTCAGTATGAAAAATAAAATACTCATATTATGAGGGCCCATACTGGCTCGGCTTGGATGTGCCAGTGGAAAAGGGGTACACAGTAAAACCTTGGATTGTAATCCAAAGCACTCGTATATCAAAGCACTCGTATATCAGTTGTGATCACATGACGCTCGGCAGACAAAGCGTATACGTACTACTCGTATTGCAAGACCTTGCTGGTTTATCAAATTAATATTTAAACATTTTTCTCGTCTTGCAAAACACTCGCAGACCAAGTTACTCGCAATCCAAGGTTTTACTGTATATCTATATATACACAGGATTTGTAATACGGGCCGGCTTGTTTCTGGCAAGTTTCTAGCAAGTTTCCAGCAATTTTGAGAACGTGACATTTGACACACGGCTCATTGCCGTGCTTGAGATGCCTGCCAACGGTCTTCTCCAACCAACCCACCCAGCCGTGTCCTCCCTTAATTTGTCCCTGACCTGAATCAGACCCTAACCCCGACCCCTCTCCATGCCGCACCCCTTAGCCCCGCCGCGGCAGCGCACGGAGCTGCACTTCGACGAGCCGTACTCAGTGGAGCCGTCGTGGGAGTGCAAATTCGACCACCTGGAGGTGCGCGACGGCCCCTTCAGCTTCTCACCGCTCATCGGCCGCTTTTGCGGCACCGAGCGCCCCCCGCCCATCACTTCCAACGGCCGCTTCATGTGGATCAAGTTCTACTCCGACGGCGAACTCGAGTCCATGGGCTTCCGCGCTTATTACACCTTCCTGCCCGGTGAGGCGCCGCGACCGCCCTGGGAAGCAGCGCTGCCGTCGGGAGTGGCGGTTAGTGGGCGGCAGGGTGGCGCAGGAGTGAAGTGTTTATAGCCTCACAGCAAGAAGGGCCTGGGTTGGCTGCCTCTTTGTGTGGAGTTTCTATGTTCTCCGGAGTGTGAGAGTGATTGCGAGTGTGTGGAGTTTGTATGTTTTCCCAAGTATGAGAGTGATTGCGAGTGTAAGATGGAGTTTGTATGTTCTCCCGATTGTGGGAGTGATTGTGTGTGGAGTTTGTATGTTCTCCGGAGTGTGAGAGCGATTGCGAGTGTGGGTAGAGTTTATATGCTCTACCGAGTGTGAGAGTGAATGCGATTGTGTGGAGATTGTTCACCCGAGTGTGGGAGTGATTGTGATTGTGTGGAGTTTGTATGTTCTCCCGAGTGTGAAAATGATTGCGAGTGTGTGGAGTTTGTATGTTCTTCCCTTGTTCTGCATGGGTTTCATCTGGGTTCTCCGGGGTTTTTCCCCCATAGCTAAATAAAAATCATGCAATGTTACTAACTCATCTTGCTGTGAGGCACAACTGTTACCACTGGACCAACCCCTGCCTTTTATTTCTTTATTTTAATATTTAGCCATTCTGATTTTAACAGAGTCTGGCTTATGGCTGTGTTCCTATATGAATGATGATCAAGCAGAGGCAGTAAAGTCTAAAATCAACAACGATTTGCATTCTCCTCTTGCAGACCCAGATTTCAGCCACATGGGCAGCATCATCCACCCGCTCCCAGGTGAGTGCTCAGTTCACATCTAACACAGAAGGCCCTTGCCTATAAACATCTGGGGCGGTTCATCAGCACTGGTTCAAGCAAAAGCCTGACTCTACCAATGAGATGCTGAATGGCGAACCCCGTCCAAAATTTTCTTGTGTCAAAATAATTCTGCTAAAATTATGCACTTCCAGAAGACGGTGTGGCTCATATGTATGTATGGATGTATGTTGAACTTCTTGCCAACCGTGCTAATCAGTGATGCGATTCTGGAATGTGTAAATAATACTTTGGATTTACGTGGAGGGACGAATGTGGGAAGGAGGCAAGTTGTCTGCTTTTCTATTTTCTTCTGATCCGGTCCCATCCACGACACAGCCAGAAAATGTTCAACTGGGAGACAATCCTGATTTATGCAAATGGTCCAGGACAATGGTACAGATTTCCCGAGACCGGGAATCAGAGGCAGATTGTAATCTTCTCAAAGGAGGTGGGGGTGGGTGGAGGCCAGGGGGGTGGTCTCAAAATTCCAAGTGTTTAGAAAATAAATAAAGCCCTATAATCATGCAAAAAGATCCCATGCATTTCCTGGGGTAAATATCAATAAAATACCATTTTTCGCAGAGTCTCAATGTGGGTGGGGGGTGGCGCAGCGGGTGCCTCCACTGCAATTCCTTCCCACGCCTCGTATCCCCCCCCCCTCCACTAAGATGCATCACTGCCGTGACTGTCCAGTCGAGCCGTGGCTGTCCAATCGAACCATTGTGTTTAGGGGCGACGCGGTGGCGAGATGTTAACTCCCTTGCCTGGTATGCAGGATGTCGTGGGTTTGATGCCGACCCTTACGCCTGTATATTTGGATTTTGCATGTTCTTCCCGTGGTTGTGTATATTTTTCTCCAAGTCCTCCAGTTTTTCTCTCCACATTTAGCAACGTGCATTTAGAGTATTTGGCTGCCATAAATCTCCACGTGATAAGCCACTTCGTTGAGCTATCATTTGATGCCAGGTTGCTTTTGGGACTTACTTGGATAATGAAAACAGTAAAAAAATATATAATCTATATTGGGGCTCTTGCTGAAGTGGATACCTAGATAATGCATAACTCTTAGACAAAATGGCTGCCTGTACCTGCAATGCTGTGTGCTGTACCAGCCTATTTGGTGGTTTTGCACGATGGCCGTCTGTCCCATAGCATTGGTTAAGAGGACCTCTGAGGTCAGCAGCTTTGCAGGAGCACGCCCATTTTTAAAGCAGCCATTCCTCATTATCAGCATGGCCAGAGTTCAGAACGCAGCCGCTTGGACTGATAGTCCAGGTTGCTATTTTTAAAACCCAGAATTCTGTAACCCCTTTGTCTCTCCTGAGCCAAGTACGGTTGATACTTGACCTGGTTTTCCCAGAATCATCCTTTTTGAGGTAGCTGCTGTCATCCTGGAACATATGTAAGTCTTCCCAAGACATTCACGTTCCCATGTTTTTATGTCTGCTGATGAATAACAATAATATTACACCACTAAAGACGATGCATGTACACGTGTAGTTCTCCCGTCTTCTGGTATTGTGAGATTTTCCACATCTCCCATGATTTGTTCTGGTTTTTTTGTACCTCAAAGGTGACAACCATAAAGCCAGGTGACAAACGATATCACAGCAACCCCAGTGGCGAGGATATATTATCTCCCTCACCTGGTACGCAGGAGGTTGTGGGTTCGATCCCAACTCTGATGCTTATATATTTGGAGTTTGCATGTTCTCCCCGTAGTTGCATGGATTTTTCTATGGGTTCTCCGGTTTTTCCCTCCACATTTGGAATCAGCATGCATTTAGAGTATTTGGCCGCTATACATTTCCACATGATAAGCCATTTACGTGATAAGATATTTACAGGATCTAACCCAAAAAAACGATATTAGGGATATACATTTGGAGTCCACGTTGTCTGTCTCCCCATGGTGGTCACATGGATTGTTCTCCAGGTCTCTCCGGTTTTGCCCCAATCCACATATATAAACAACATGCGTTTATATTATTTGGCTGAAACTATAAATTCCCATATATGGTGATATAAGAACTTTGATGATCTATAACTTGTGGCCAGGTCTCCTCTGAAAAAGAGCGAATAGCTCATTGGGCTTTACCTGTTAATATAAAAAACAAAGCAAAATAGCAATTTCCAATATTGGTTAAACCGTATACATTAAAACATTTATGCATATAAGTGCAGCAGCTTACTTTGCAAGAGCACCGTGCAGCCGAGATCCAGAGGCATCTTGCCCACCCTTTGTGCTGCTGTGGCCATGCCTTCCTTCACGTGGCCGCAGCTGAGATCCAATGGGGTCTTGCGCAACCTTCAGCTGTTCTCTTCCTGATTTAATCTGCTTATTCTGCCGCTAACTTGGCTGCTGCTGCTGTTGCTGTTCTCACTTGCCTGAAAATCACCAGGCTTATGCTGCTTCCTGGCTTACGCAGACCTCTGCATCCCAAAAGCAGCTTTTTCCAAATACAAACTAATATTCCATATACATCTATAGCCTGCTAAACTGCACCTCATGGCTACATCCCATCCTTGCTGCCAAAAAACCTCATCTCCCAAGTGTAGAGTTAAAACTAAACTCAACTATTTGTATTTCACCAGAGACACAGAGGCATCCATTAACGAGTGTAAGGACCGACATGGCTTTTGTATAATCATTATCGCGATGAGGCCCACAGACTGGTGCAGCACACAGCGTTGCAGGTACAGGCAGCCATCTTGTCTATTAGGTAGGCATTATATGGGTATCCACTCCAGCAAGAGCCCCAATATAGATTATGCTAACTATTTACTACTATTTCAATGTCACCAGGTAAGGTCTATCGAGCTATATAGCTCTTTTTCAGAAGCATGTTTCTAATTGTGGAGGGAAAAACCGGAGGACCCGGAGAAAAATCCATGTGATCCACGGGGAAAGCATGCACACTCCAAATACACAGCAGGTGTTAGGGTCGGGAGCGAACCCACAGCCTCCTGTATACCAGGCAACGTAGTTAACATCTTGCCACTGTGACATACCTGGTCACGTGACCATCCAATTGAGGCGATACATACGCGCGATGTATTGCACACCCCACAGAAAACAGCAGTGGGAGCACGTTCGTGGTTCAAATCCGGAAAGGTCGCCCATGGTTACCACTGTGGGCGTATTAACTGTCAAGTTACTACGTGCCGTCTGCTTCACAGTGGACATTTAAAGATCTCCCGTGGCACCACTCCAAAAAAGTTAGGCCATTATGTGCCGGCGTCGTGATACACCTTTGCCAAATTTGAAGAAAATCCAATGCAAATTACTCAGTAGGAATTACACACAGCAAACAACAGCACCCCTGGGCTGCGAATATACTGCTGTGTCGGTGATACATAGGACGCTCACGAAAGCCTCGCACTGTAAGAGTGGCGTGAATACCAAGTGTCTCAACTATATCATTATGAAAAAATTCCGAGCGTAGCTGATGTCTGTGCGGTGTGCAGCGTGTGAGTTTGAAGTCAGCGGCGCAGAGGGAATCCTCAAGTCAGCACAGCTCGAAACCGAGAGCAAGGCAACGGCCAACGAAGCCATCGACTGCTTTTGGACTATCCGGGCCACCCCCAATTCACGGGTACTCTCCCATCCACAGCCACAAGAGTCCGCCTCGACGAATCATCGCCATCGTCGTCATCATCGTCAACTCCACCATCATTGTCATCGTGATCGCAATTGCCGTCCTCATCATTGTCACCGTTGCATCGTTGTTGTCATCTGATGGTACTTGGTAAAAGTGCAGCCCTGCAAATGCTTGCTCATACTACTGCTGGCAGAAGGGGGGGGGGGGGGGCTCTTGTGGAGGGTATTTTTGCCTGATCTTCCACAACTGCAAGACATCGTGGGAGAGGCTGGAGTACCCACACTTTTCCCCACCGCACACGACCTACTGATCAACTAACTCTGGTTCTACCCATTTACACTACTGCATGGACAGAGGTGGTGGGGGATGGAGAGGATGGGGAATTTAAGAAGCTCGCACCATTGTTCAACCGCCGTGCCGGGAGATCAAATCAAACTGGCAACTTCTGGATTGCAAGTGCAGTGGGCTCACCACTACGCTGTGGCAGCATCCCTCTAACGGTATTAATACAGAACCCCAGTGAGTGTCCTATGGAGTGGCTAACTGATGCCTGTCATTTGAATGTGGAATTTCCACCACTTGTTTCGAGTCGTTTAAGCAGCCAGACACTTTAATGTGTTGTCATCAACTGAGTCCAAAGAGCCTTTTTTTCAGGAGAGACTTGATTGGCATTGTTTGGTTATTTCCACGTTAACAATTGTTTGCATGTTAGAGTAAAGAGGAATACTATACCCAGAGAAAATCAACGCATGCCAACATCAAAATATTTCCACCATATTCAATTTCACCACCAACAATTATAATCACAACTGCCACTAGTGAGCGTCACATCCAGATCATCTCATTAGGCAGCATCGTCCCTCTGTTCTACACTCAACGGCCATCTTATCAGAATTCCGTACCACCACTTCTATTACCGGGGTTATCGGTGGAGTAATTGTGTGATTAGCTGGTGCCGAGTCAACACTCTTCCGGGCCAAGATTGATTCGGAACTTAAGCGGAGTAAAAAAAAAAATCACCACTCATTTTATTCCACAGCCGCTGCCGTCACGTCTCTCCACGGCCAATATCCTTAACGAGTCCTGCATTTAAAACCATCAATCTGGGCAGAACGCGCCGGCACCAACGTCGCCCTGCCAAAGCTGGGCCCGTTTTAGATCATTCCATTACATTAGGACATTGATTTTGCGATGTTTCATCGCAAAGAGCCAAGAGCGCGCGTATTATTAAAATGACTGCGTTTGACCCGGAATATCGGCTCGGTGTCTGCAGACGTGAGCGTGTGTGCATGTCTGTGTAAATGTTTGTGTACATGTCTGTGTACAGACCGTTGTATGGCACCGCTGGGAGGATCTTTGTACGTGTGTTATAGGGGAGCGATAGTATAACGGTTAGCGCGCTGTGCTATGAATCCGGCGACCCGAGTTCGATTCTCTCTCATGGTCAACAACAGTGGTGATTATCCAAACCGGTCCCGGGCCTACCCCGAGGTCGACTCAGCCTCAAATGAGTTCCTGGTGCAGTGCATAAATATTGTCACTTGGGATACAAAAGTGGCCGGGCACGGTGCTCATAGGTGATTGCAAACAGTACCTCTGCCCCAACTTACGTGAAAGTCTATATGGGGGATTGCTATCTTTGTCATTGTGTGATTATATGTTGTGTATGGCAGTGAGTGTATGTTTGCGTGTACTATTGTGTGAATACATTTTCATGTGTTAGAGCATGTGTGTATATGTGGCTGTGTGTCGAGTGTGGTGCTGGCCACCGACCACCTCGTGTACCGTGCCGGCCTTCATAGGTGCTCGCAAAAAGCACTTGCCCTTTCAGTTTCAGTTTAATTTATTAGGTATAGCCCTGTGAGCCATGCGGCTCTTGACTCGGGTGCAACCGCAACAAACAAAAACATGAACAAAGAACATCTTAAAGCGAAGTAGCTCTTTGGTTGCTCGTACAAGTTTGTGTGTCTGTGCATTATCGTTTCGTTATCTGTTCGGGCAGAATTATAATTTAATCTGCTGCGTAACGATGTGTGGAAGCTGAACTAAACTAATTTTTTTTAATTAGCTTTTTTGATTTTACCAGATAAGGCCCATTGAGCTATATAGCTCTTTTTCAGAAACGAACTGCCTGCAAATAATAGCTGAACGAAGTGGCTTATCACGTGGAAATTTATACCAGCCAAATACTCGACTTGGTCTGTCGCTCCACACGAAGCTTCGGGTATTCTCGGTCACAAACATGCCCTTCCTTCTCTTTGCTTGCGTAACGTGGATCCCTCTAATTTGAACATTTGCCCGTTTAGCTTACGATCCATCCTGGGTTTAACCAGGCTGGATTGTGTGAGGAGCTCACAAATTATATTAAGATCTGGGCACATTCCCATCAGTGAGCTCGTCCGGCGGGCAATGCTGCGTTGACTTGATAAGGTAACCCGCAAGCCCAGTGAGCTTTTGTTTGGCCGAATAGTTCAGTTTCAGTTTTATTTTGGTATAGCCCTGTGAGCCATTCGGCTCTTGAATCGGGTGCAACCACAACAAACAAAAAAATAAAAACACGAACAAGAAAAACATCTTAAAGTGACTATGTGACTGTGCAAACAGAAAATCCATGAAAAAAAACAGCAAAAATATCCCTGAAAAAAGCACCGTACACCAACGCTGTGTGCAAAAAATCCCAGTGGGATGCAAGTCAAACAACAACAACCACAAAAACTTAGATTATCAGATGATGATTGCTTGTGTTGCAGTCGAAACGTCGTGAGCATTTTATTGTTTTATATATTTTGTATTATTTTATTGTTTCCCTTCTATGTGACTTTACCGAGAGAACCAAGAATATGAATCCCTGCAGTCACAAAAGCTTTAAATCAAGATAATTCAATCATTCGTTAATACGGGGGTCTCGTTAATAGTGAGTGGATGCATCAGGCTGGAGCAGTGAATTCAGGAGAGGGATGTCAGCAGACGTGGCTGGGGTAATGGGTGTCTCAGAGCAGAGCCAGCATTATTTAAATGCTGTGTTTAATCCATGCAAGTCGCCAGTGATTAAACCAGTTACTCAGGCGTAGTCACTTTGATGTTCACAGCCCGGTCACCAATGGCTGTACAAAAAAACAATAAATTGGTTTTACACTTAATTTGGATTCATTCCAGCTCTGCGAATTAGAAAAAATCGCTTTGACCATCATGTGACGAACATTATGTTTGTGTAGTCGTGTGGGCGGGAAGGTGCTTCCCCTAGCATGCAAATAAGAGGGCGCTTGGAGGGATGTCGGAAGCGTTTCAGCAAGTCTTCTGTGGACCGTACCCTACGAGAGCTCCCAATGGATTCCTCATTCTCGCGTTGCGATGCCAATATCGGGAGAAAGGTGTAAAAACATTTGTATTTTTTTTTATAATATCGCAATACAACATTCCTCAATATTTTCATGAATGTAGCTTTTCACTTCATATTACCCTATGTGAGAGCTAGATTTTGTAAATATATTTGGAGGTTGACATACGGTTACTCATGCTTGATCAAAGTAGAGGATGATAGAGCGCCCATCCATTGTTGAGTGAGCACTGTTGATTCTGGTTCACAATTCGATTCTAGATCATGCACATCTAAGAGTTGATGGACAAGGGCTGTACATGCCAGGCAGTGGTGGTGGATTTGCACTTGGCCTGTAATCCTGCGCTGTGGAGGCAGCGAGGGCAGGTGGATCACACGAGTGTTGCGAAACTCCCTCCCTGTGGGCGTAGAGGATGTGCCATACCCCGGTTCGCCAGGAGAAGGCGGTACAGCAGAAATGTGGACTCCACCTGTTTCATCTGTATGGGATAGAGTGTTTTGTATGGGATAGAGTGTTTTGTATGGGATAGAGTGTTTTGTATGGGATAGAGTGTTTTGTATGGGATAGAGTGTTTTCCCCTCATGTAGGTTTTTTTTCTGGATGCTCATGTTTCCTCCCACACATGAACACTCATGAATTGGTTGACAACACCTTAACAGACAGAGGGCCGCAGAGCTTGGGCAATTGTTGGTCCTGGCTCATTGCATGGCTGCCTTCCTGCTTCTCTGTGATTCCTCCTCGCTCGGCGACGCGTTGCGACGCGTTACAAGTTGACATTATTTATGATGTGCAATGTTGCAGGTGATTGGATGGTTCTAGAGCAGGGGTGGGGAACGTCCGGCCCGCGGGCCGTATAAGGCCCCGCGAAATCACTTGGTCTGGCCCTGACAAGGCAACCGCAGGTGGGACTCGAAATTCAATCAATCTAGGAGCAAACCTGGAAAAGCAGTTGCGAGTAGCAACATCATCAATACCAGCTAACACCACCACGCCTCACCAAAGAGAAGCAGTTCCAGCCATCACGTTAGGGGTGAGTTAATGAAATGTTTTACCAAATATAACGGGCTAATTTTTAAGTTGACCATTTTGTATGGCCCGCGAATGATGTTATAAATATCCAAATGGCCCTTGGCAGAAAAAAGGTTCCCCACCCCTGCTCTAGAGTATCGGGTCAGTGGTATCATTATATAAAGTCCCTGAAATTGGGGAATGTATTTATTTGCATGAAGGCGAGAGCCAAAGGGGTTTCTGTGATTGTCCCTTACACGTCGTATATATACTGTTTATTTATATTGTTTTGCTGTGAAACTTTGTATTTGTGTCAGATTCGTTGATGTTTTTCGGTTATTTTATTTTTCTTCGTGGAGATATTTAGTGCCGTACTTTGTTTGCGCGCGTCTTCCTTGCCGTAAACGTGTTTCACCAAGGGCGAAACAAGACGGACACAATACACATGACAAGACAGTACAGACAAGAGAGGCAGTACGGATAAGCCAGACAGTATAGAAAATACACACTCCACAAAAAAAGCATTCCTGAATTGAATTGTGACCACCTAATCGTGACAGCTGGTGCAGTCAAGCTGGGTGGGTAAATGGTTACAAGCTGAGTTACGAGTTTTTCTGTCCTCCACCCCCGTCTCTTGCCCACCCCCGTCTCTTGCCCACCCCCGTCTCTTGCCCACCCCCGTCTCTTGCCCACCCCCGTCCCTTGTCCACCCGTGCCCCTTGCCCACCCCCGTCTATTGCCCACCCCCGTCTCTTGCCCACCCCCATCCCTTGCCCACCCGTGCTCCTTGCCCACCTCCGTCTCTTGCCCATCCACTTCCCTTGCCCACCCCATCCCTCGTACTCACCTTACCCAGATCTACCTGCGCTTCCTCGACTACCAGATGCACCACTCCAACGAGTGCAAGCGCAACTTCATCGCCGTGTACGACGGCTCGCGGCTCATCGACAACCTAAAGGCAAAGTTCTGCAGCACGGTGGCGAGCGATGTGATGCTGCAGTCGGGCCTGGGCGTCGTGAGGATGTGGGCTGACGAGGGCAGCCGCACCATGACGCACTTCTCCATGCTCTTCACCTCCTTCCTCGACCGTACGTGCTCAACAACGAATGCGACAATGCCCCACCTACTTCCCTCCCCCTTGAGAATATTTTTTCTCTCGCGGTTGCGAAGCGCACTAGGCCCAAGCGGCCAGCAACAAACAGCACGATTAAACCTTCTTCTTTGGATCTTTCGGTAAAGTCACGTAGAATGAGAATAAAATAATAAATTGATAAAATAAAATAACACAATAATATTCTCACGACGTTTCGGCCACAACACAAGCGGCCTTGATCAGGTGAAGGGACGAGCGCTGTCCTCCAGATAGTCTCTTCCCTTCACCTGATGAAGGCCGCTTGTGTTGTGGCCGAAACGTCGTGAGAATATTATTGTGTTATTTTATTTGATCAATTTATTATTTTGTTCTCATTCTACGTGACTTTACCGAAAGAACCAAAGAAGATGAATCCTTGCAGTCACGAAAGCTTTAAATCGAAATTTAGCACGATTAAAGTTAAACAAAGTAACGGCTAATACATTACTGTACTTGCAATGAGCAAGGTCTTAAAAGCATCTTCTTGCCAGAAACCAGGAACTCATTTTGAGAAAGTCAGAACCAGGCAATCAGAATGAATTCCTGGTTTCTCACCAGAATGCGGCTTGACACAGTTGCAAGCCAAACTTTAAACTACAACTTTAAACAATTTTTCATTTACCAGGTAAGGACCACTGAGTTATTAGCTCTTTTTCAGAAGCGACCTGGTCACAAATGATAGCTCAACGAAGTGGCTTAGTATCCAAATACTCTAAACGCACGTTGATTCTAAATGTGGAGGAAAAACCGGAGGACCCAGAGAAATCCACTCGACCACGGGTAGAACATGCAAACTCCAAATAAACGAGCGTCAGGGTCCTGATCGAACCCACGACATCTTATATACCAGGCGAGGTAGTTAACATCTTGCCACCGTTATATCCAACAGCTAAATTTGGTTGCGAGCTTTGTTCTTAAAAGCACAGATGAATGAGCTAGAACACGAATTGGCATGTTAAATGTTTGTACACACAATACATTTCATTTATTTAGCTATGTCAGGTAGTGGAGGGTGCCATGACACAAATTTGGCCAGACCACTAAGTGGCCTAAAAAAAATAATCTATTGTGAGTCATTGTAACATTGGCTACGAAACGAAAATGCATTTTACTTGTCAAGAGGTTTCTGTCGTTGGTTGGGTCTTTCGCTTTTCTCGTCTCATCTAAGTGTCCTCCTCACCCCCCTTCCCCCACCATGCTGGTTAACAGCCCCGTGCGATGGCAGCATGTTCTTCTGCCACAGCAACATGTGCATCAACAGCTCGCTTGTGTGCAACGGCGTGCAGAACTGCGTCTACCCTTGGGACGAGAAGCACTGCAAAGGCACGTGCACGCACACACATACCCTGGCAAATGCATGTACAAAGGCAAAGAGCTCCCATATACTCTTTGGTTCTTTCGATAAAGACACGTAGGTAGAAAATAAAATAAATCACGACGTTTCGATCGCAACACAAGCGGTCGTCCTCAGGCGGAAAAAATATAATCCAGCAGTGGTGGTTCACCAGTTCCACTGCTGGATTATATTTTTTCTGTTGAACTTCTGTCGCACCATACGTAGCCAACCGTGCTAATCGGAGGTGCGGGGAAGGACAACAAACTAAACACAAAAAGCCTTTCTAAAGAAATTAGTTTTCAATCTAGATTTAAAAGTGCATAGCTCCAATGGCTTCCTAATATCGGAAGGAAGAACGTTCCAGATGGTCGTAGAAGCACATCTAAAAGCGCATGTTGAGGTAACCATCTTTGTTCGATGGCTCGCCAAAAGTTGCTGCTGCGAGGATGAGTGGAGTTCGCGTGATTGTTTATGCTCCTTGACGAGATCAGCGAGGTATTGTGGTCCATTTGTGGCCAACAGTTTGAGTGTAATGAGTGCAACCTTAGAAAAATGTTTGTTTACACACTCTGCCTGGTACTAATTTACGGCTGAGTCAACCTAGGTGAGGCCCAGGACTGGTTCAGATATTCATCACTATGTTAGCCGTAGCTGGGATATTAACTTTGTGTTCGTAGCGCAGTGCGCAATCCGTTGTACCACCTCTCGTGACCTGCAGGGTGGTGGCTATAGCCTTAGGCCCTACCTTTAGACCCACCGTTCCAGGTTGGAGTCACAGCTGAGCGATGGAAGCCATTGGAATTATTTTATGAATTTCGATTACATCATTCATACAATTTTCCACAGCTAAACCTCGGAACAAAAATGTATTTTGTTTAAAAAATGAATATAGCGAGTGATTTTTGTTTGATTAGTTTACATTTGTAAATTTTACACCGATAAATAAAGGAATAAATGTTTGTATTATTTATTTTGCAATATGTAATAGCGCACATGCTTTGGGCCATTCCCTGCAATCAGCCTTGGGGCCCGCTCATAACATTCACCCCGGCCGTGTCCGCGACTCCTCGTTTCCCCTTTGCAGAGAAGCGCAAGGGCAGCCTCTTCCAGCAGATGACAACCACCAACGGCACGCTTATCGGCGTCTGCTCGGGCCTCGTGGTGGTGCTCATCGTGATCTCCGTCTACGTGCAGCTCAAGCAGCCGCGCAAGAAGCTTCTCCCGCAGCGTGGGACGAGTGCCGGGGCCTGCGGCGGTGCCGCCAGCGGCTCGGGCAGCACTGATGCCGCCTGCCTGCAGGAGGTCCTGGAGCCCCCCCTCTACGACCTCTTCTCCGCCGCCAAGCCCAGTGGGGGGCCGGCACGTGACGGCAGAGGGGACGGCGCACGCAACCACGGCACGGGCACGCTGACCGGTGCGTCTGTGTAGCGCTCACGTGTGTCGGTGGGTGGGTGTGTGTTGTCGGGAGCGGTAGTGTAGCAGTTAGCGCACTGCGCTATGAACCCGGTGACCCGAGTTCAATTCCCGCTCTAGACCAACACCAGTCCTGGGCCTCCCTTAGGTCGATTCAGCCTGAAATGAGTACCTGGTGCCATATGTCTAGATCGCCATGAGGGAGACAAAGGCAGCGGGGCCTGGTGCTGGTCACCCACCCCCTCGTGTGACGCGCCAGCCTTAATTGGTGCTCGCTCACAGCACTTGCTATTACAGTCTATTAAGGCTGTACGGGGGATCTTTGTATTCTATATATGAGTGGGTGAAGTGTGTTTGTGTCTTCAGTTTGAAAGAAGACAAAGATTCTTTGCTGGGCATATAAAAGATGTGCCTAAACATGTTTAAAAAGGCTACTTAAGTGGCTTCAGAAGTAGTTCATATTACAGGTCTGTTCTCTGACAGGGTGGTACACTGCTCGCTGAGAGAGTTAACCGGCGGTAAAATATTACACGTTATCCCAGTGGGATGCTGGCCTGGTGTAATGTTATCACACTGGACTTAAAATATAGTGGTCGCCACAATTAAAACAATTACCACTTTTCTTAAATCCACCCTGTATCTCCACAACAGGCAATCAATCTGTAAGTCGCGTGTGGTGAGGTGAAATGTGGGTACCCACTTCATCTGTCTGGCCACTTGCAGCAGACTCGGCTGAAACACCTTCCAGAGGGGCTCTCATCAACTCGCTTGAGCGGACGCCCTTCTGCCAGCAGTGGCGCGAGCAAGCACTTTCAGGGCTGCCCCTTCACCTGTACCTTATGTCAGTGGTGACGTCCCACAACGGGGTATTCGTCTTCCCACCAATCCACCCGCATGTTCTCCCACCCACTCGTTCACCTACCCACTCGTTCACCCACCCACTTGTTCACCCAACCACCCACTCATCCTCCAAACACTCGTTCAACCACCCACTCGTGCACCCACCCGTTCGATCACCCCCCCCCCACTCGTTCACCCACTCACTCACTCACTTGTTCACCCACCCACTCGTCCTCCCACCCACTCGTTCATTCACCCACTCGTCCTCCCACCCTCTTGTTCACCCATCTACTCGTTCACCCACCCATTTATCCAGTGCCGTCACAGCCCGGCTGTGAGCAGCTTGCCTTTACAATATTTTCAGCACAAAGGAGCGGCTGCTTGGCTATTGAAAAAAAACCCACTCACACGCTCGCACATGCACTGCTCGGAGGCAGCGTGAACTGTCCACACTCGACCTTATTTGCATCCCAGGGCTTTTTGACATCTGTGGAGATAATTCACTGCTGCGCCTGATATTAATTAGGGGCCACAGTTATTGCAATCTGAAGGCGGTTTCTCTTGCTCTGCTCCTGATGTGTGTACGTGCGTGTCTGCATGCATGTGTGTGTGCCCGCGGGTATATCGGTGGGCGGCTGTTAGTCTAGGGAGTTTTAGCGCAGTAGTTGTCGCAACTGCGCGACAAAACCGGCAACCCGGGTTCGAATACAGTTCAAGACCAATAACAGTGGCGAATATCTGAACTGGTCCTGGGTCTCCCCTAGGTCGACTCAACCTAAAATGAGTACCTGGTGCGGTGTGTAAACATCAGAGACAAAAGGCGTGGTGCTGGCCACTCACCTGCTCGTGTGCCCTGCCAGCCTGAATAGGTGCACGCGGACAGCACTTTCCCCAACAGTCTGTTAAGGCTATATGGGAGATCTCTGTCTTTTGGATGCAAGCACAGTATATGCAGACAAATCATCATCATCACACTCTCTGCCGAGTGTGACGATGAGGATTTGAAAAATGCCGTCATTCAGGCATCCGTCAAAAGGTTTCTTCAGTGAGAAATAATAACCAACCAATCACGACCAACAGATCACTCCATGAAACGTTCGTGCCAGCTCTCCAGGCCAGTTCATGCCCTCCTATGAACCAACTCTCAAAGCATGCCTTTTCTTTCATGACTGTTGAATCGCTCAGTATTATGCAACGTTCGGTTCACGAGTTAAAAACTGAATGACAGACAAGCAAAAATATACCTTTGAGTAAAATCATGAGTACTGTAGTAGGCCGGTACGTGTGTGGCATTGGTGCAGTAATGGATCTCCCAGTCATCCCAGTGAGTGTATGTATGCATGTTGAACTGATTTCGCACCGTACATAGCCAACCGTGCTAATGAGAGGTACGGAGAAGGACAACAAACTAAACACAAAAAGCAGTTCTTAAGAAATGAGGTGAACTCTTGCCAGCCAGTCTTCCATACATCACATGGTCTAAGAGTGTGCCTAGCCTTGCATAGGCACCATGGTGGTGTAGTGGTTAGGCCACTGCGTGCCAAACCCATTAGCCAGAGTTACATTACTGGCTACAGCCAATAGGAATTATCTGAACGGGTCCTGAGCCTCCCTAAGGTCGACTCAGTCTTGTACCTGGTGTGGCGTGCAAACATCAGTGCTGGGGAGACAAAGGTGGCCAGTAGTAGTCCTGGCCATATCACTCTCATATACTGATGCTCACGCACAGCACTTGCTCCAGCAGCCTAATTCACGTATTCTCTGGGTTATAAGACATTCCAGAAAGTAAGACGCACCCCAAACTTGTACCCGGTGGTAATCATGTAAAGAAAAGCTGGTCTCACACACACACTCACACCTACTGGCGTATAATTGAGTCTTATTAATCTGGAGAATATGGTAGATGTTTGCTTATTAATAATTGCTCCTGACAGAACTTTCTCGTACAGTCTATAATTCTATAATCTAAACAGGCGATTGTTGCCTGCGTGTCTATGTATGTGTCTTTTGTGGATACAGAAGTGTGTGTGTGTGTATGCATTCACGCTGGTTTATTGCTTGCCCTGCAGAGTAATGCATTCCGTATTCTGTTCCACCTCTGCACGGCGAGGAAGTATATGCTCAAGGCCTCCCTGCAGCATGCAATCAACCACAGTCCATTACAGGGCACGCCGTCATGAGCCTGGCGTGCCTGGAGTGTAAAGTGTGGCCACACCAATATGCAAAGGCAACATTGGAGCGACCTTACCCAGCGACAGCGAGATCCACAAAGTCGGCGTCAAAGTCGTTTCCTTTACGCACACAAAAGCTGGGCAGCGTTCATCTCCAATGGATGGCAGTCCTGATGCCAGCGGTGGATATTACATGTTCCCATGGCAGGCAGTGACAGTCTATCCAAAGAGTTATCGCTTCATGGCTTCCTACAAAAAGTTTTACAGTACTCGTTTTATTGACAGGAGACAGACAACTATAATTGTATGATATTTGCCTTGAACAGGATTTGTGTGACCTCCCAGGTATTTTTTACAATAATATAATTATTTTGTTTTTACCTAGGAGAGTCTTTTTCACAATTTTACCTCTCTTTTCTAGGTTATTAAATAAAATAACAAGTTAAATTCCATTGGTAAAATCTCACAGAGCAGTGGAACTTCATTTCATCAGTAAAGGGTTGTGCCAGAGATTCTCCCAGAGAGTGTGGGGAGATGCATCCCATGGCGTTAATGGATGGAGATGCTCCATCCATTAGCGCCATGGGATGCATGTTCACCACGTGGCCGCCAAACCGATATTCTGATTCTCAGAGCTGGAAATTAGATTAATGCAGCAAAACAGAAAATGTATGAATGTTGAACTTATTTCGCACTCATACTCTTTGGTTTTATTCGGTAAAGTCACGTAGGTAAAACGAATTAAAATAAAATAAACAATTTAAACACGACGTTTCGGAGGCAACGCAAGCTTCCGTCTTCAGGTGGGACCAGTCACAGCCAGAATCGCTGCACCAAGTGGTGAGGCTCTGGGAACCTAGCGCTTAAATACAGGTTAAGGTGGGGGGGGGGGGGGTGTGGGAGGGGCCATGTGGGGGGACTTTAGTGGGATGCGGAGGGGGGATGGGTCGTTGTGTGTGTGCAGGGATGAGTTAATCCGTCTTTTGTTGTGTGTAGGGTGCGGGAGATGGGTCACTGTGTGTGTGCGATATAAACGGAGTTAATCCTTCTTTTGTTGTGTAGAGGGAGCGGGGGATGGGTCGTTGTGTGTGTGCAGGGATGAGTTTATTCATCTTTTGTTGTGTGGAGGGCGTGGGAGATGGGTCACTGTGTGTGTGCAATATAAACGGACAGAATATCGGCCAAGATGTGCTGTAAGGGGGCAGTAGAAAAAGGAAAATAGAAAAGTTCAGAAAGAATATGTTTGGTATACCACTGCTTGAAATTGCTGTTAGAAATTAGTTAGTGTTTGGTATGATTCAAAACGTCTTTCCAGTGGTTGCTTAATTTTAAACCATCCTCTCAATTGAAATTATGCCTGTGTTTATAAAACTGAATGGCTTCGTGGACAAATCTTTGGTGATAACCTGTAGGTTTACAAAGAACCTTACTATCGGAAAAGACAATCTCATGATCACCCATAGCGTTGTAACAGTGATCAGCGACAGCAGATGAATTCGTTCTGCCGTGTTTCAAATATGATTTATGTTCGCGAATTCGGTCAGAGATATGTCGTTTCGTCTCCCCGATATAACAATCACCACAGGTACAGCTCAATTTGTAAACACCGGGGTACTGTAAGTCAGGGATGACATCCTTTACGGATGGGATCAGATCACGAATTTTGTGTACTGTATTGAACCGGACTTGGATCTTGTGTTTGTTTAGATTTTTGGAAATCTTTTTAGTAACGCCTGCTATGTAAGGTAGTGTGATGGTTTTGATCCGAGTATCAGGTGGTTGTTTCTGTATGGTAGGAGAAACAGCTTGGCGGATGGTACGGTCAGAGTATCCGTTCCTCCTAAGGGCCAGCCGTCCCAATTTTAATTCACTGGTCAAGTGGTGTTGGTCTGAAATGCAATGAGCCCTATGGTGTAAAGTTTTGATGAGAGAGTTCTTTTGAGCCGGGTGGTGGTGGGAATCCGGTTTCAAGTAGGAATCTGTGTGGGTG